AGCAGGCTTTTAGTTCGTGCAGTGCCAGCTGGCAGGCTTCAGGTTTTGGAGTGAACCGCCCGCTGCCCACCTCGGGGCGCAGGCAGTGCCCACCGCTTGGGCAAAGCAGTCGTGTCCAGTGCAAGCTGGACGGGGGCTTTCTAGCCTAACTGCAGTTTGGTTTTCATATCCACCAAGCACGGGAACAGCAAACTGCTCAGTAAGTAAGTAGTGTTAATCTTCACTTCGTGTGGGATTTCGGCTTTGGTTTTTGAATGTGGAGTGGAGAACGGGCCAGCGCTGTGTCTGCCGAAGGCTGTGACGTGGTCGGAACAAGCTCCTGGTTTTGGTTTCAGTCACTTTTCAGTTACCTCTTGTGATGAGAATCAGATTAGTTAATCAGGGAGGTGACAAATCTTCAATAATTCATTAAACTATAATGACATTACAACATCCTAATTCCCCCCCTCTGATTTTGTTCAATTTTTATTTCTGCTGTAGAGTGGACTCCATGTTTTAGATTCAAGGCTGCTCATCCAGGTATTTCAAACCAGCCCGTCACCTGGAGAATTGATAGCTGGCATATGCTCACTTTAGTGCTGCTAAATGGTTTTGCTTCTCAACAGGATAATTATATTGATCGTGGCTTAGAACTTCAGAAATTGGGTTGTGGTTGCATAAAGCGTGTTTCAAAACTCTAGTATGAGCTATACTGTACAGAAAAAAACTCCCAGCAAAACCAGACCACCACCATTGTTTTGTCTAACAGTCCCATTTTGATAGAAATTAGGATTTTTTTTGACCCAGTGTCTGCTTGAAGAGAGAAGCTGACACTGCTTTTTGGCCCCTTGCCCTCTCTTCAACAACAGGGCTAATGCGAAACTGGCTGTATCGAACCTTGGTGAAATCTGGCTCTCAGTGGGTGGGCCTGGATCCTTCCTTGAAATGCTGGATTTCATCCCTGGCAAATGTTTTATAAGGATTTTACCTTTAAGACAATTGATTTTTTTTTGGCTTTTGACTGACTGCTCAAGAGCAGTCGTCTGTGACAGCTGGGTGTGAAGGTGTGGGGGGGGCACCGCTGCGTGGGCTGCGCAGCCCTGTGGTGCTGGTTCCCGCAGGCTGAAGGCTGCGGGTGAGATGTTGGCGTGCGATCCGCTGGCCTTGGGTGATCTCGACAGCTGAGGCTGTAGAAGACGGAGGGTTGAAGTGGGGCCACTCTGGGCTCCACGCAGCGCCAGCTGTGGGGTGGCTGGCAGAGCTGGCCGAAGGAGAGATCTGAAACTCGGGGCTTCAGGGTGGGCTCTGGCTGATTAGGAGCAAAAAGATGTCTAGATTTATAAAACCATTCTTTTCTTCCGAAAGCAAGCTGAAGAGTGTTAAAGGTAAAATCTTTAGGTGTCAGATGTTACTGTACTGCCCAAACCAGCCAGGAAGAGAGTGCTTTATCAGGGACGTGGAGACTTTTTTCTTCTAGGGTGCATAACCACTTAAAAAAACAAACAAACAAACAAAAAAACCCAAAACGGCTGACAATGTACTTGAAATGCATAATACTGGTTTTACTTCGAGACCCTGAATACCTGCTTACCTCTTTGCTTCTCGTTTTTCAGGCTGGACGTAAAGAAAGAAGTGATGCACTGAACTCTGCGATTGATAAAATGACCAAAAAGACCCGAGACTTGCGTAGACAGGTAATTAATATAGGAGGTTAGGTAATTAATATAGGAGGTTGATACTTGTTGAGACAAAGGAGTGCATTTCTGCCTGTTTGCCCTCCTGGAAATATGTTCTCTGCTGATTTATTTCTAGAGGGCGGTGGGCTTGCCTGCTTGTAATTAGTGAATTCAAAGCGAGGAGGTTCCAGTGCCTGGTTCACAGGGAAGCATGGGGTGCAAATGTAATCCCCTGTTCACTGCGTAATAAAGACATTAGATTCTTAATCATCCTTGTGGCAAGGGAGATCTTAACAAAAAACCAAACAAAAAACCTCAAACAAACAACCAAACAAAAAACAACCCCCCAAACCCTCCAACTTTATGGATTTTGAACATAATCAGGCCTGTTTTATAATTATGGTGGTATTCATCTCAGAGAGCCTGTTTTCTTTGAGGACCGTATTTATGTAACATCAATCTTTTGTCTGTTTGGTTTTTAAAGCAACATATTCCCTTTTCAAGTGAACGTGAATATGGATCAAGTTTGAAATGTGTTTTTATGCTAGTAGAAAAACAAGAAAGTGAAATCAGCATGTTGTTTAATCAGCTGAGGGAAAGCAGCAGATATACTCAGACAAAACCAATATGAACTGCTAAATCAATATTTGTGGCCAAACTGGTGACTTGCACTTATATAACTAATCCAGTTTTTTAAGGAGATTTAATTTAAATTGACAAGATATAGACAAGACTTAGTGCAGGGGAAGCCTTGACCACACAAAGGGAAAAGGATCAACGACAAAAGCACTTAAGCTTTATGTATTAATACAGTAAAAGGAAAACAGCAGTGGAACACTGCTGAAAAATACCTCATTCTTTTATTTTTCTTTTAGCTTCGCAAAGCTGTGATGGACCACGTATCAGACTCTTTTCTGGAAACAAATGTTCCGCTTTTAGTATTGATTGAAGCTGCCAAGAACGGGAACGAAAAAGAAGTTAAAGAATACGCCCAGGTTTTCCGTGAACATGCCAACAAATTGATTGAGGTAAGATGGTACAAATTAAAATTAAATTATCACTAGTTAAATTAAGGCAAGACTAGGCAAACCACATTTTTCAGTTCAGTTGAAATAAATAGCAAATTCTGTAATAAATTTGCCTTTTGATTTTATTTTAATGGATTTAAATGCAATTTAGTGTTTAATTAAAAATGTAAGCTTGTCGGAAAGCAGCAGCTACTGTTAGATAGCCCATGTAGATATCTACAATGTGAGTGTATTATGCTGTTAACTTTACTTGATTTGTTAATTGGAGATGGTGATACGGAGTAAGGGAGACTGTGGCATGACTCTCCTGCCATCCAATTTGACCCATTGCTTGTAGCCTGGAGGTTTTTTCTTTTCAGTAAAATACCAGTGAATATAAACAGGGATTTTATGTGAAGGCTTTTAAAACAAAAACCCACTTAGGCGTGTGTGTGAAGAGCAAACCACGGACAAAAGGAAAACTCGCAATAACAACAAAACTGCTCCCTGCCGCCGCCTTCTAATAAAAACCCAAAGGCTCTCAAACTGATGTTACTCCAGACTAAACTGGTCTGTGGGAAGGTCAGCTTAAATGGGACCAACATGTCTTCACTAAAATGCATCCAAGATCGTTAGTCTACTATTAAATGTAATAGTTTTTCAACGGGTGGTGTGTTTACAAAGAGCAACCTAAGTTCATACCCCGTGTTCATGGATACGCCTCGGTAACCTTGTCCTCTTGCCTTTGCTTCGCATGAGGGTTTTGCACCTGCTGATGCTAAATGCCAAGGGACAAACATCTCTAGGTATTGTTGAAGAAACATGCCACTAGGAATAAACTTCAAAAACTCCTCCTGTGCACTTCAGTACACTTCGAGGCATCAGCGGGCTCATGTGCTTAACCTCAGCAGTTACCTGGGGACAGACACCGACCGGTTAATGTATTTTTGCTCTCTTGGTATCGCTGTGTTTGATAATTGAGTCCGTGTGTCTCCTAGGCTCATCGGGAATACTTTCAACACAACTCGACAGATTTAAATTACTCAAGAATAAGACTTACTGAACATCAGTAAAAGCAGTTTCTGACTCTTGCTCAATATATTTTTCTCACTTTTTTAAAAGCCTTAAAGGCTCTGAGCATGGTGCGCCACTGCCCCATAGCCTGTGTTGCATTAAGCTAGTCCAGCTCCTCAGAGCTGCTGCCTAAGCAGTGAAAAAATCTTTAGTTCTTTGAAGGTATCAGTTCTTCACTTTTGGCCTGCTGCATTTCAGTGTAAATGCCATCTTCATAGAGTTTTAAAGTTATATTGTAGTGAATTTTAAGTAACTAACATAGTTCAACAAAACAGCAGGTGGAAGACAGTGCTGCTGTGCCCTGCCTTGGCAGCAGGGTACGGCTGTGCCGCGTAGGGTAGCGGGAACACTTTGAAGCAGGTTTTGTGCAAAGCTTTCCTTCTTCATATTGCAAGCCTAATTTATTAAGAAAATTATTTTGGGGGCTTGTTTACAGGAAAAGTTGACTGGCATAACAATAGCAGTGCCTATTCTGACATAGTTCTGCCATCTCTTCGGTGGATGTGTGGTGTCCACCCGTGGAGTTTATCGGCGTAATGGCAAAGGAGTAATTGTGCTGCTCCATCCGTGAGCTTCCATCCCCCCCTTGCTAGGTGAGCCCTCACTCCCTGCTCCTTCAGAATGTGTGCGCCATCTGAAAAGCAGTGGGGGGCTGTCCTCACTGGCGTGTCAGTGCGGTTTTTACTGACCTTACCTTGTGTGCGAAATGCCAAGCTGCAAATGAGTTTTGCAGAACCTCTCTTCAGCCAGTCCGTCTTTCAAGAAAGACTGTTCTCCTGAATGTATGCATTAAACAATATTTCTGACTGGCATCAGAAGGTTCTGCTAAAGTGATACGCTGCTGCAACAACTTTTTGAAGGCTTGCTTATTGCTTTTGCTGTCTCAAATGTAACCATAGCTATAGAGTAGCATGATCTAGGTAGCTTATAAACCTCTCCCATGAATGTAGATGTATTAATATATACGCTTAGCTTTGACAGAAGGGGAATAGTACTCCCGCAGAGCCCTTGTCTCGAGGGGATAGAGAGCCACTGTGGAGTTGTACGTGATGTCAAATTTACAGCGAAGGAAGGCGGGTCGGGGTGGGTTGTACTTACAGTGCTCGGGGTGTCTCTGCCGCAACGGAGAAGGATGTTTGCAAGTTCCCATGTGATTCTGCTCTCAGGCAGAAAGCTCGACTGCAGGTATCTAGAGAAACCATGAAAGGTGGTGTACGAGCAGAACAGAAGATGTTCCACTTGGTGGGGTGAGAAGTGATTGCTTCCAGCTGTTTTCAGCAGAAGATAAGTGTGCTGGGGAGTTTATCGTAACTACCCTCAGAAATGCTGCTGAGTGACTCAAGACATCAAACGTGACAAAACAGCTGCAGTGCAGAACGGAGCCGTGTTGTGTATCACGCCGTGATTGACAGGCTCCTGTGATTTGGATGTAGAAGAGAACACGTCCTTGCCTGTAACGCGAAGCGGTGCGAAGAGATGCACAGAAGAGACATGCTCTGCAGTAGGTAACTCGGAAGATCCCCATCTGAACTAGTGAGAGGTTTACACCTTGGGTTTGGTACCCGTTTGTCCTGTGACCTGGAGGAGTCCCTGCTGCTCTCCTGGTGAACCAGCCACTAGAGGGGACTGTGATATGTGTTTGACAGTGAACTGTTGCAGGTGTGGGCTAGACGGGAGGAGCGGCAGTGCTGGTTCTGCCCTGGGTTAGCGTGGGAGGTTCTTGATCCTGCAGAGCAGGGGTGTTTACAGGCCCTCCAAGTAGCTGTAAAGAGATGCAAGCACATGATTTGGGCAATCTTGTTTTGAAGTGTTCCCTTCCTGGCAGCAGAGCATTGTCTGCTTTGTGGTTCTTAAAGTCGAATTTGACCAGAAGATGCAGTAACCACAAAAACCTGATTTGCCTGCTGGGTCTGTGTCTTCTAGAGAAACCATACCAAAGCCATGTCCCAAAGGGCTTCCATCTGATTCTCATGTAGTAAAACACTAACCCCCGTATCCTGCCTTCTGAAAAGTGAGTAACGGGAAAATAGTAAAATGAGACGTGTCTCAGTTGAACAATACGTTTCAAAGATAGCTTTCAAAATCGCTCTGCACTAACAGTCCATTAACTAGCTAGCGCTCTGCCTGGATTTTGTTAAAGGCTTTTAATTCAGGAATCGGGAAGCCAATTTAAATGCAGCACGCAAGAAGAACAGGAGACACAGCGTTTTGGGAAGCCGGTGTAAGAAAAAGTTAAATTCACTGGTGAACTCTGAAAGTCTTCCTAATTTATGGGTTGTAAAGTGCGTACTTGTGCTCCGGAGGTTTTTATGGTTCCGGGTAAAGTAGCCTTGGCTCCTCAGCCTGTAATGTTACTCTTGAGGAAAGACAGCTTCGCATTGTCATCTTTAGATTTAGTGTTCCTCCCTGGAAGAAACTAGGCCGTCCTGCAACTTGGTGCTCGTTTTTAATGATGTCACTTAGCACCATGCTGACTCTTTGTTCGTCCCAGTCTCTGAAGTGTGCGTGTGCACAAGTTGCCTTTGTGCCACTCCCCGTAGTCACTGCAGTGACGCTTCTGGCTATTCTCTGAAAAGTGGAAAAGCCGTAAATGTTAAGAAGAAACTTTTGCTACACCACAGAAAAACAAAAGTTAGGTTGTCAATTTGTCACTCTTTTATACTGTGCAATTTTAATGGAAAAGTTTTTCAGACCTTAAGAAATTAAGTAGTTAAAAGGTAGACTCTTCTGGTAGCTGTTTGCTTGCTGAAGAATATTTTGGAAAGGGAGAGGATGTACTTCCTTAAAACCAGCAAATAATCCTATCTTGCTCTGGAACCCCTACCCCTGTGTCAAATGTTTTTCCTCAAATTTTATTTTCAAGTCTCTTTCTCAGAGAAACTTTGGTAAGACCAGGGAGGCAGAAGCTCTCAGTGATGTTTCCTGAGCATCATTTTTTTCCCTAATTGCTTTAATTTATCTGAAAAGACTGCTCTGTGTCTTTTTTAATGCACTGGCTTCTATCTTGCATATGGAGAGATGATTTTCTCATCTTCAGTGAAAACCCATGAACAGATGCAGACTGCAAATTTATTTGCTTGGAAAGAATCACATTTGAGCACTTAACTCCATAAGCTATCTGTAGCCTCTCGTGCTGACATTTTCCCCCTTCTGTTGCCCTGTCTAACCCGATGGCCTAGAGTAATTCTTGAGACTTCAGTCTAAAAATACCACTCCAAAAGCCCAAAGCCTTGCACACTGGCAACGCTTTTATTGCAATTTATCCTGATTTGCTTATACTTGCAGCCTATACATTCTTCAGAGAGTCTTAACAGCTGCAGGTTTTTTACATGGGTAAAACATAGCTTGAGTTTAAAATAATAGCTTTTGGATTTCAGACACAGCAAAGGTTTGGAAAAACTGGGGCTTGCCAGTCCTCTGTCATGAGAGAGAACTTACCTGGGCATAGCTAGCGATCTTTGTGGTGAAGGTATGCGCTTAGTGCTTGTGCATCTTGTACGTTTATTAAGAGCGAAGCATGGAACGCAATTAGCCAGCAGATCTAGAAATAAATCTGGTCTCACAAGATTATCCTTTGTGTCTATTAGCCACCTGATTTCCAAAGTTTATAAAACTAGCATCTTTGGAGGTAGGAGTGGACTGGCTTTGCTCATTCTTTGCATCTTCTTTCTTCATGCCTGCCATCAGAGGTGTGAGTGAGTGCTGAAAGACAGGGGCGATGCATCTGGGGTGAAAAGTGCAGACAAGCATAACGCTTGACACCCAAGTCAAATAATGATTTGGAATGTTTTTCTGAACTTTGGGTATCTTAATCTCTCAAAACTCTGCGTTTTCCAGGCTAGGGTCGTTATCAGTCGTTACTGTGGTATCTGAGCATCTATTTTTCCTGTTCAGTAAGCTAATTTACTGGGGGAAAAACCCTCAAGTTTGTCTTCTACTTGCTTTTA